TGGTTCTCTATTGAACTTTTCCATATATATATATATATATATATATATATATATATATATATATATATAAGACATGTTTCTTCTAAATAATAATTGTTTGTACTAAAAGATGTCTACAAGAAATGTTTTCACGTCTACAAACTTTGCTCTGTCTTATTGGAGAAGATGACGTGTAAACGTTTTGATGTTTGCGATCTTCTAAAAAATAATATGTGAGAATGTGCATACGTAAATGTCTTCCTGCGCGTAGACATAAATGATCAAAAATATATTTGATTGTGTTTAAACAAAATTATGGTTTTTGTGGTTTGTGAAAACAAGCATTGTTTTTTGTCCATGTGGCCTTAATTCTTTGCACTTCGCACTGTTAATCAAATCATGCATGTAAAAAAAAATTCTATTCTTTTTATTTACTTATAATATACGATTTAATTTAGATGTTCGAAGCCACCTGGTTTCGGGGGTAATGTGTTCAAAGAATCTCGCGGTTCTTTTCACTATTCAGATGACAATCCTAGGAAGTCGTGGAGTACGGGATCGGTAAATATTTTGAATAAAACTACTCCATCTGTGGGGGTTAACTCTTGTGAAGAGGTGAGTAAGTTCATTGAGTTAGGAAAAATGTTAGGATACGATGTGGAGAATGCTAAGGCGGATTTGAAAAACCGTCTAATCGGTATGGGAGTGCTTCAATCTTTATGAATTGTGTTTCACTTAATGTTTGTGGCATGAATACGTCAAAAAAGCGTAGTTGGGTTAAGGAGATTTGTAATAGTCATGTGGTGAATTTTATTGTTCTTCACGAAACCAGATTGACTCGGGTTGACCTTGTCAAAATAAGGGCTCTTTAGGGTAATTCGACCTTTGATTTTGCTTGCAGTACGGCTAGGGGATGCTCGGGTGGTATTTTATCGGTGTGGGATAATACAGTGTTTAAGAAGGAGAGTATTCATTGTCATGAAAATGTGGTTATTGTTGAAGGCACCTGGATCAGGAAAAATATTAAATGTACTATGATTAACATGTATGCCCCTCAAGATGCTGGAAAGAAAAGGGAGTTATGGCAATATCTGATCTCGTATATGTCCAAAGTAAATGGTGCTTTTATAGTCTTTGGTGATTTCAATGTGGTTAGATCTTCTAATGAAAGACGTGGGAGTTTGTTTTGTGCTTCGCAAGCTGCTGAGTTTAATCAATTTATTTATGAGACAGATCTGTTTGATATTCCTATGGAGGGCCGGAAATTTACTCGAGTGGATAAGGCTGGTGCTAAGCTTAGTCGTTTGGATCGATTCTATATTTCTGAAAGTTTGTTAGATGTTATTCCCGGTATCTCTTGTATTGCATTGGATAGGAGGTGGTCATACCATTGCCCGGTGCTTCTGAAGGAAGATCAGAATGATTACGGTCCTATTTCTTTTAAGCTGTTTAACTCGTGGCTTCAGATGGATGGTTTTTCCGATGTGGTTTCTCAAGTGGTTAGAGATTTTAGTCCAGATTGTAATCTAAATAAGTGTATTAATCTGAAGAACAAACTTAAATTCGTTAAAGCCAAGATTAAGGGCTGGCAAGTTGATATGCGTAAGTTGAAAGGGGAACAAAGGAAAGCGTGTATTAACCGGTTGCTCGATATTGATAATCTGATTGATAGTGGGGTTGCTTCGGATGATGTCATGGTCGAGAGAAAGAATATTCTCCAACAGGTGTCGGATATTGATAAGGCGGATATTTTGGATTATGTTCAAAAGGCTAAGGTCAAGTGGGCGATAGAAGGAGACGAGAATTCTAATTTCTTTCATGGTATGCTAAAAAGAAAAAGAAAACAGATGGCTATTAAAGGAATCTCGCAGGATGGTATTTGGGTGACTAACCCAGATAGCGTTAAGGAGGCATTTTTAGAGTTTTACAAAAACAAATTCAAGCATTACAATGTGGTCAACATGGGTACTCCTAGTGCTCGGTTCCAAAAACTTAATGAAGTCCAGGTGGAGTCCTTACAAGCTTATTTCTCAGATGATGAAATTAGGGATGTAGTGTGGTCGTGTGGGAGTGATAGGGCTCCGGGGCCTGACGGATTTACGTTTCGGTTCTTGAAACAATTCTGGAGTTTGTTTGAGAAGGATGTGTATGATTTCATGCGAGAGTTTTTTGATACTTGTATCATTTCGCCAGGGTGCAACTCTTCTTTTATCACGTTAATCCCTAAAGTTGAAAATCCCACTGAGATCAAAGATTACAGGCCGATTAGTCTGATTGGGCTGCAGTATAAGATAGTTGCGAAG